CATTCCTGCCTGGAGTGGGTGAGGAGGGGAGGCATGAACTTGAAGGGGTGGGTCGGGGAGGTGGAGACCCTTGGGGTCAAACCCTGCTCTGGATAAGGTGAATACTGGTCCAGCAGGTGCTGTCATAGCAAGGAGGCCTGTCTTACCTTGCAGTATCCCTGCAGGGCCATGATGAGAGCACACTCAATCCCATCCCTGCGGCAGACTCTTCTCCAGATCAAGGTGCCCCTGTACCCAGGCATCATCCAAGGCTGGTTTTTGTAAAGCCACATCGGTCTCCACATAGCGTCAGGCATCAGCTCACCTCGTGTCTGTCAGCAAGCTGGAGCTGACTGCAGGCAAAAGCGGGGAGGGGGTGGGATAAGTCATGACCCTTTTATACTGGAGAACGTACAGCTGTCAGGCTCACAGATGTCAGTGCTGAGATGGATGCCAGCCAGTCAGAGGCATCCTGACCCTCTGAGCCACCTCTTTGTGCCACCTCTCATCCACAAACCTCAATGCACGAGAGCCTTTTAAGACTTAAACTTCCTAAACCCCACGTGACAGACATGGGGCAGAAAGTGGGGGTGCTCTGCAGCCCCGGGGTTTGCCTGAAGTCATAGAGACAAGCGGGAGAGCAAAGAGGAGAAGTCAAGCTTTGCTGGCACGCTGCTCTAAGCACTAGATGACAGGCAACTGAGAGGCAGCGCTCTGCATGCCTTCTTAACTGTTAATAGCATTGCAAATAGATACCAGCCAAGGACTCCAGGCTTCTCCCTGATAAGATAAAAGCCACACAAATCAAATAAGCCAAGCTTCCTGCCCAGAGGAGCTGCTTCTGAGGGCATGGGTGAGGGCAGATATAGGCTGGTAACCCACTGCAGCCAAGCCAGAGGTGACTTGTGGCAGTGCTGTTCCTGCCCCAGCTGTTTCTTTGGTGAAATGCATTTTGTGCAAGTGAAAACCTGCTCATGCAGCTGGCAGGACACCTGGCCTGTCCCTCTCAGGAGCAAAGCAGACCCCGTTTCCTTGAAACTTCATCCTGCTGGGTTCTGGGCCCTGTGACCCCACTCCACCGTGCTCTTATGTAGCTTGTTCCAGCGGTTAATCAGTTAAAATGAGAGCCTCGTTTCCCATTTATATTCATCTGGCTTCACCTCCCAGCCATTAGTTTTCCTTACCCTTTTCTGAAGAGATTGGAGAGCTCTTCAGGACCTGGTGTTTTCTCCCCAGGAAGGTATTTATGCACTGTAATCAAGTCACCACTTAGTCCTCACCTTTCTGATAAGCTAAACAGATTGAGCTCTTCAAGCCTTTCTGAGTTAAGGTCATGCCTCAGTGCTCTGCTAATCAGAGGCAGCACATGCCAGCCTGGCAGGATGCAGTGCCTGGTGTCTTCAGCACAGGCTCCTTCCCCTCTGATACCAGCCCCCAGGCAGTGCTGGGCAGGGATGCTGCTCAGCCCTGTGCCCATGTTCCTGCTCCCTTTTTCCACGTCATTTCCTAGACTCCTCCAGGGTGGTAAAAGGCCAGTATGGCTCCTGCATTGCCTCTGCTCTGCCAGTCTGGATGCCCATGCTTGCCTCTGGGATCTTTCCATTCAGCCCATGTGCCATCCTATTCCATCTTGCCAAGATACTTCCTTCGTCCAACACCCACCCCCCCCCCCAGAACCCCCCCCCAGCAAGATCTTACTAGTTAAATGGATGAAAACTGAAGACCAATGCATCTGCTCATGCTAAAGTGACCCCGGAAAGCCTCTTCTCTGCTGCCTTTCCCAGTGAGCCCCCATTTCTTTGTAGCACTCGTTAAATGGGAAGGCTGTATTGGCCGAGCAGCTGAGTTGTGGCAGCTCCCCCTGGACAGGTAAATTATTTGGTGGGTCTGAGAGCAGGGCCCAGCCCTCTTGGGGGTTGGGGAGTGTGTTTTTGTGTATTGTACAGCTCTGAGCACACGGCTGGGGCTGAGCAAATGTGGCCAGGGATCCTGGGCACTGCTTGGCTGCTCCTTTGTACTTCCAGCTGAAGTTAAACGACTCCCCGGAGCTGCTCTGGGAAAGATGGAGAACACTACTGACAGGCTTGGCATCCACATGCAAGAAAAAGACTGAGCCACTAACTGTGTGAATGCCTTCTCTCCCGCTGTCCCAGTCTGCAGCATCCAGTCTCTCCTGTGCAAACTGCACACATATATCACGCTGCTGAGTGGCCAAGTGCAAGGGAGTGGGAATCACGGCTGCCTTATCACTCAGCATTTTGCCTTATGAAAATTCAGTTTGCCTGAATCAAATCCCAAGTAAAACAAGGTTTCAAAATGGTTAAAAAATCCCACCCCCCTTTCCCGACTCAGCTGGGAAAGTACTGGTGCTGCTATTAGCCTTATAGACAGTAGCATGGAGAGAGACTGAAGCATTGAGCAGGGATCACAGAGCCCTGGATGAATTGCCCAAGGTCTGGAGACAAAGCTTCCCTGGTCAGGGCAATGTGGCCATGCAGGGAACTTGCAGAGGAGAGGAGGCCAGAGTCCCAGCCACTTCAGGACAGGCTGTAGAGCCTTTCTGTTTGCTTGCACGCTTCCACCCAAAAACAGACAAGCATCCACTGCAACGCCTAGCCTTTGCAGCCCCTATCAAAAAGCCATAGCTTGAGAAGAAAGAGCATCAGACTCCTTGAATGCACCAGAGGCCTCATTATTTTCCAAGCATAGCCCCATAGCTGGGCTCACAGACCTCCCCTCTGCACTCCTTCCCCTTAGTTCGTGCACACTCATTCCCACCCCCAGCCTGCTATGCGGGAGGAATTGAACCCCTTTTGTAGCTCTCTGTACAGAACAGGCCCTTGCTGTCTCTTCCCAGAACAAGCCTGGTCATAAACTGGGATCAGGGATTCTTTTACTGCCTCAAAGCTGGGCCCCACACGTCTCTGAGGAGGGGCACGCCGGGGAGCCTGGGAGCCAGCTGGGATACTGCCCCTGCCACCCGAGCGCTGCTCCAAGGGGATGATTTATGGCTCCATTTTTCTGTAATGACATGCAGAGCTGGCCTTCATCTTCCCTCTTGTGCCTTACAAGGTCAGCGCCTGGAATCCCAAGACAAAGCAAAACTCAGTGAAACTCTTTCAAAGAGCAATATTTCAGTTTTATGGCCTGGGAGATATACGATGCCATTTTCACCGTGAAAGCAGATACGAGAAACATGATGTTTTCTCCTGGATCTGGTGGGTCATCAAAGCTGCATTTCTTGCAGGTAGAGTTACAAGATAATAAATACAGCCCTTTAAAAGTAGCACCCTCTTCAACAGATGGCGCGGCAGAATAGGAGAGAGAGGGTTGTAAATTATATCCGAATGTGTTGGTTCATGAATTACATGGAAGAAGAAATCCTTCTCTTTGCAAACAAACTTTGGTAGGCCGGGCAGGCTCTTCTCTCGGACTGTAAATTCCCTGTGTGGGTACTTGTGTTACAAGCAAATACCTGTGCAGGTTGGGAGAGGATTTTACTGCCTCCTGGCATAGCTGGGCTTAAGCCTTTGATCCACAGCTATGGGTGTCAGCAGTGGCATAAGAGCAATCAGCTGCCAAGCAGAGGCAAGTTAATTAGAAGTAGAAACCTTGGATAGACTTTGAGACTGCCACGGCAGCCTGGACTTCAGATCCAGCCAGGATCCCAAGAGGGGCTGGGCTGGGAATGGTCATCCATATCTGCTTGGGGGCTCAGGAAGTGGTATGGCCTTGCAGCAAGACCCTGGGGTAGGTTCAGTGGGGGCTGGCACTCAACTGTATCACATCAGATACAACCTTGCGCCGCTCTCCACTGGCATCTGATCAGCAGGCCCAGAAGGGAACATCTGAACTGCCTATCTGAGTCAGACCACAAGCTCACCAGTATCTTTCTCTGCAAAGGGCTGAAAGAAAAAGTCCAAGAAACAGGGTGCATGTAGAGAGATCTGTCCCAACAGACCTTCCACTTACCCACAGGCATCTGATTAGGGAAATCCTGAGCCTGCACCCCCAACAGCTGTGCTCAGATGCCTCTGCTGGACCTTTCCTGCTGGTGTGTGCAATACGGCAGGAACCACAGTATGGAAATCAGATGGTAAAAAGGGCTGGTTTCAACTGAAACCCCAGGGCTGTCACAGTGCTGAGACCCCGATGCAGCAGGCAGCAGAAGCATGTGTTTTGGGTGGTGTGCCAGCTCTCCCAGGGGGGCTGTGGAGCAGGCAGCGATGCTGTTATGCCAGTGGCTGTGATACAGCTCTCCAGACCTGGGGCAGCAGGCTGCAGCCAGGAACTCGGGGCAAACCCTGCAGTACTCAGCTCTCCGGCATCCCAGAAACCCAACTAGCCTGCTGCCAATCTAGCCAACTGTACCCAAGGGGCTGGCAGCAGCCTCAGGCCCCATGTTGCTTCACAGCACAGCTATTAAGCTCAGTCAAGTCATGAAGTCTCAAGTAGGAAACCCCCAGGTGTGGCGGGGACCTGCTGTCTATACATAGCAGCAATTAGTATGTTAATAAAGCAGGGACCACACTGATCTGGCCCAGGGAGCAGAGACGTGGCACTGTGCTGCTCGCCTATTGACAAGCCAGAGAGGGGTCAAGCTGTCCCAATGGGCTCTGACGGATACGCAGAAGCATCTGATTAGACTGATTCTACGCCAGGGTCATTAAGTCAATTTGTTTAGGCTTACTGCTGCTTGGAGCCAACTCCTGGGGCCTTGTCCCATGGGCCCCTGGCCCAGTCCATGCCATGAGCCCCACTTCACAGTGCACGGGTGGGGAGAAGGGGCCTGCTCCCTGCTCTTTGGTGCTGGCTGCTGCCCTGATGTTGTCTTCCCAAATATTGCACAGCTGAGTTGCCAGATGATGAGAGTGGATTTCTGCCCTTGCTTTCTCAAGCAACCCTTAGTAGGGCCGCTGTTGGCAGGTGCTCTCTAACTCACACGCTTGCCTTGTACAGCTAGCGTACCTCCCCCCTGCTCCCTGCCCTGTGCTCTTCCAGTGACGGGGGAGCAGGGATGATGCCGATCTCGCTCAACGAGAGCTGTGTCAGATTTGGGCTCTCTTTCTGCCACTCGGTAAAGAGCTTTTCCTGCTTGATGGAGAGTTTTAAGTAACAACAAGGGGACAGATGGCTCATTTTCGGGCAGCTATTCAGACCTGAAACATGATCCATTCTGAAAAAAGTGTCGTGCCCTTTCGACACTTGCAGCCTGAGATGCACAAAGTATTTCCATGATGCACTTCAGTGCTTAGGAACACACGCTCTAGTGCACGCACGCACGTGGAAAGCCAGGGCGCTGTTGTTGTTCGGAGCATGCGGTCATCGATACTCTAGCCAGTTAGGGCTCCCAGCATCTGCATGTCCTGCAGCCCCTCCGGGGTATTTGGGAAGCTTGCGTTCCAGCTCTTTTGTTGTTCGGCTCCAGCGAAGCCTTGAGAGACTGTGGCGAGGCTGTGGCTGTACACAACTCTGTTCAGCCCCTGCTCTCTGCTCCTCTTGGCACACATTGCCTGTCGCACACAAGTGCTTCATGTGCTGCTGAGTCTGCCCCAGCACAGTTTGGACAGGGCCCCGCACTGGATTTCGGTTTTGGTCTCTAACATCAGCCAATGCCCTGGGGGGCATGGGGTTGTAAAGGCAGTCGAGTCTGCACGACAAATGGCAGCTGTGGGACAGCAGGGTTTGCTTTCATTGGCTTGTTAAACTTTGCTCAAATTTGAGCAGATGGAAGAACATCCTTCTGGAAAATGAATAGTTTGGCGTTTCACAGCACCTGGTGTTTGGGAGATGCAGAGGAAGAGGCTGTTCTTTCGCAGTGTGGGCTGTGCTGTGTTCTTGCTTGGTTACTTGGGGGGGTTCCCACTGTTTTTGCTGGGCATTCATTTTGAGGGGGTCTGCAAGTGTCCCGGGGGCACGGTGCACCTGCTGGAGGACAGTCCCTCTGCATGGGTGGGAAAAAGGGAAACCACAATCAGCAAGAATAGCTTCTCCTGGAGACACCCTGCTGCTCCCCTGCTGCTCTGTGGTTATTGCAAATAGCAGGACTGAGTGTTACACAGCAGCCTTCTTTGATCAGATCCCTGCCAAAGGACAGCAAAGCCTTTCCCATACAGCACGCATACAACATGAATTGCACATACTCCCGGAGCTAACTTGGGCCTTCACAGCCAAGAAAGGAAGGGATATTTTAGCCTCAATGTGACCACACAGCACCATGCCATCTTAACTTGACCTAGTCATGTTGCATCGTGCAGGGAATGAGGA